CCCCCCTCCCCCCAATCCTCCTCTGGCCCTACCTCCACCCTCATCCTCCCCGGTCTCGTGTTTCTCATATCTACCTGATCCTCTTTCCACCATCCCACATGTCTCTCCTGTGTCCTCCTGCACTCACAACCCCCACCCGACCTTCTCCACGTCCTCCTCCCACCCACTTGTCGGGCGCCCTGGCCGCAGACACGCTGGACGAGGCGGAGCGCCAGTGGAAGGCCGAGTTCCACCGCTGGAGCTCCTACATGGTGCACTGGAAGAACCAGTTTGACCATTACAGCAAGCAGGATCGCTGCTCAGACCTGTGACCCAGGCGGGACCCCCACGTTCTGCCGCCCTATCCGCCCCTCCGCCCCTGTCCCCAAGTTGTATATACTATTTATCTAAGGGCTGGGATATTACAGAGGAGCCCTAGACCCACCCCAACTTTCCCCCGGGGCTCCTGGTCCTCTGCATGTCTCGGCCGAGCCCCCTACCCCGCGGTGCCTTCGCCCCTCTGGGCTGCCAATAAACTGTTACAGCCAAAGGTGTGTGCGCGACTGGGGGCGGTAGGGCAGAAAGCCTAGCCAATTGGGCTCGGGGAATGGGGGTGGTCGCTGGGACACCAGGCGCCACCCAGCAAGGAGAACTCGCGTCTGCGCAGTAAGAAGGGAGGTGCGGTGGGGCGGGGCAGCGGTGCATTGTGGGAACCCTATAGTCCGCCAGGTCCGCAGGGCCTAGCGGTGCGACCTCCACTGTTTCGTGCTGCCAGTGCTGCCTGGCGCATTTGTGGCCAGAACCTGCGCGCCGGTCCTGCCCGCAGCTCGCCCAGGACCCGGCCGGGCCGAGAGTAAGTACTCTAGATCCTGAATTCTCCCTGGAGTTCGCTCCACGCCGCCAGACGCTACTTCTGCCCTAACTCGGCAGCTCTGCTCCTGCCCACCGCCCTGGAGCCACTGAAGGACGTACATCTGGGCCTTGCGCCACCCGCCCGCGGCCCCGCTCGCCTGGCCATCCTCTCGGGCCACTACCTCTACTATCACTATGGCTGCGACGGGGCTGGGGCTGCGGATACCGAACTCTGCAGACGCTGTGCTCGTGGCCACATGGCCGGCCCGTGGGTGTTCCCGGATTGATGGACGTGCAGGCCGCGTTGGAGGACATGGGTGACAAGCCCCCTGGGTTCCGCGGCTCCAGGGACTGGATCGGCTGTGTAGAGGCCAGCCTCTGCCTCGAGTACTTCAGAGGACCCCAGGGGCGCCTATGCCACGTTCCCCGTGGAGCTGGGCTTCAGGGGGAGCTGGAGAGACTTCACTCCCACTTCGCAGGGGGCGGAGGGCCTGTAATGGTTGGGGGGGATGCGGATGCCCAGTCGAAGGCCTTGCTGGGAGTCTGTCTGGGGCCGGGCACCAAAGCCTTCGTCCTGGTATTGGACCCTCACTGCTGGGGTGCTCCAAAAAACCCCACTGAACTACAGATTGCTGGGTGGGTGGGCTGGCGAGAGGTGAGCACAACATTTGACTCCAAGTCCTTCTACAACCTGTGTTTGACCAGCCATAACTCTGAAAAGCAGCTGCCTCCGCAGGACTGAGACGTTCCCAAAACAGGACTGTCTCCGGCCCCAAACACTCTCAAGGGCAGAGGCTTAGAGACTGCAGGATGCCAGGCCCCCAGGAAGTCCCAGTAGAGCCTGGAAACTTTGGCATCAATAAAGTGACAAGGCCCGGCTCAACCATTGCCCCAGCCAATGTTTGGGAGGATTTGGGGAGGTATATAATATACACTTGGTCAGGAATCACTGCGGAAGTGCTTTTATTGGCAGTAGGGCTGGACGTACAAAAAATTCCGAAGAGCTGGATGGGACAAGGCAGTCACAAGTATAGATGGTATTGAGAGTGAGGGAAAGTCAATGGCTCAAAAGAAATCCACATCATCTGGAGCATCCAGGTCACGGTATTCAACAATGGCCCGTGGATCGCCACGGGCCATCCTGTGAAATAAGAAAGAGGTAAAATGGGATGAGAGTTGAGGGTCCCAGTTTGCAGAGGGCAAGAAAACTTGGACATCTTAGCTCACTCTCACCTGTTTCGAGGTTTCCCAGGATAACCTCCCTGGCCTCGGAAGGCATCATAGTTCCCTCGGCCAGCACCATAAGGGGCATGGGGATATGGAGGCCCTCCTGTGGGGACTGCAGGGCGGACAGCACCAGCTATGAAAAAGATCAGTGTTGAGTTGAAAACCTATGACCTCAACTATATCTTAGCTGCTTTCTCCCAACCCCTCACAACCACCAAACCCTTTCAAGACCTTCCTATACTTACCTCCATACCCCAAAATAGGGGGCCGGGGCTGGCCATAGGGCATCAGGCTCTGGGGAGTCTGGTGTGGGTAGGGGAGTCCTGGAGTCAGGCCTGGGGGGAGTACAACACAGACAGGGACATGAATTACTGGGGAAGGAGGTTTGGGGGGAGACAGGACACAACTAGCTGTTAGGAATATGGCCAGAGGGGATAAGGCAGAAACTTTTTCAGGGGACAACAGGATAAAGAACCAGGAGTCCTACCCTAACCAGTTTGGCTTAGTGGAATGTCAGCCTGTGGACTCAAGGGTCCCAGGTTCGATTCTGGTCACGGGCATGTACCTTGGTTGTGGGCACATCCCCGGGGG